TTTTTAACTTATATTTTATAAGAAGAACTTGACACATATTATTTGAGCGTGGACCTGAACAGGATACAGGATCAAAATAAGTGGAAAAACGAATGTGATTGCGTGTGATTGTGCAACTGTGTTCGTACACCTGAGGATGACCTCTTGAGGTCGAAACATGTAGTGCGACAGTAAGTAAGAAACGTGTTGTGTGGTCAGTAAAATTAACTCTAATATTGAAGGTAAAAAGAAAGATGNTACCACACCAAGGTCAACCACTACACACTGGATATGGAGAGCTGGGAAAAAGAAATAGCTTGACAAAATGTATATAGAAATTTATAATAATGAACTGTAAACAATTGTAAATATAATATAATTTTTTGGAATTTTTCAAATAGCGATTTCGTTATTTAAAAATATTTAGGTAAATGTCTGCACAAAACCTTCAACGCTTGCGAAAATAAAGCACCGGGAGGGATTTAAATACCCCCGCATAAATGCACGCTATATGCATGTAACTCAGCGGACGCACATGGTGCGTCGCACACACTTGGGGGGTTAATGCCCAAGACACTGCAGGCTCATGCTGTCAGAAACATTTTGCACACATCCAACTCTTCAAAATTCCCAAGGGCATAAAACTTACAAAACTCTATACTTCACAGTACTTAGTATTCCTGAAGACTGGCCTGGTTTACATTTGATAAGTAACACTGGAGGTCTAGGGAACTGCACATAATCTTGGAGTTAAATTATCAGTCTTCCACACACTGCCCTGGTTTCCTGAGAGATGAACACATGGTTTTGACCATACTTTCTTTTTGTCTTTCTAAATACGTAATTTACCACATTCAGCCTCCAGTCATGTACAACACAAGTAGTTATTTCATTCTTACCTGAAGATCATGGTGCCAGCACATAAACGGAACTCACATATTCACACCCATAATGTTATCTGGAAAGACATGGATTCTCCTGAACAGTAGGCACATACCACGTATGTAGAATCAAATCCACTCCTCCCCCCTGCACCCACTGACACACACTTTGTGCACACCATTAAAGATTTGACAGGAACTTATTAAAGATGAACAGATGGCTAGTAATAATTGGGCCATGCTCCTCATTATGCACACATTCTACTTGCCTCCAAGCTGCCTCCGATAAGCAGACTGGTAGTCTGTCCCTTTCGGTGCCTATACCTGCAAATTCCCTATACTCAACAAGCAGTCCAAACGTTCCAATATATTGTAATAACAAGTAACCTGTATCATATAACAGATCCCATTCTACCTCTCAATTATCTGTCGCTATCATATAGAGCTACAATCTTCATTTAAAGGAGCAGGTAATGTCAGTCTGCACCCGAGGCGTTCTCTTCAGTTGAAGCACCATCTTACTGCACATCTGGCACAGCTCGGTTGGATTAACTGCTGCTTCATATCACAAAGTGTCCAAGAGCGATTCTATGTTTCAAGATATCTCACATATCTAAGTATTCATAATACTTACAAACCTCCAACCTCACACACTTTACACAACATCCTTACATTCAAAACTGTATCATATATAACCTTTGATGTTCCTCACAACTATCAAACTTCTATAATGCAGACATCCATTCCTGATGTGGGAACTGCCCACAGTCAAGCAAGTGTGACAACGCAAACGTCATTGCTTAGCAACCGTTGTTTACTCGTTGTTGCTAAGCAACAAATTTCACCGTTTCCTATGAATTACCAACTTACGGAATATAATTCCACTCACAAACATCACACGTCACTTTTTTTTCCTCCCGCCATTCTGGGCCACTTGTCTGAGCGTGTCTTGATTTACATAGACTTCCAACAGGTTAGGTTGGGCGAGTTTACACCACCACCGTCAAACACAGTTTTTGCAGCTGTCAAGAGATCAACACGAGCAGTCTTATAGTTTACCTTATGTGGCTTTCATCATGTAAAAGCGTAATGTACCGGTTACCAACATACTGACTTGCCAGCATAAACCTACCCCCACTGGAACGTACGTACGTAAATACGTCTGTACTCTTAATCCAAATGAGAAGCACAATAGATCATTGAAGGTCATAGCGCGAGGCCCAGTTTTATAGCTCACCCCTCATGCTATTATTCGTACGTACGTCTGTAATATTATGAGCGAAAACGTGAATTCTGTTCAAGGTCACTGCCACGGCCTAGGCATAGTTCAAGCCAAGCGCTTGATGGCACAGAACAGAAGAACACAATGCTATTGGCGGGCAACCTAGAAGCCGTGACGTCATCAAAGCATCACTGCTGCCGCAGTGTCCGGAGGGTTCAGAGGACATGGCTGCCACCAGTGCCGAGCTAGGTAAGTACGAGTGTATGCTATCGTACCACGTGCCCTGTCGGTAAGAAAGTATGCTATCATACCACCGGCCTTTGTGTACTGCTCCCTCCCAAAGAACCACTAATTCACATCAATAGCTACAAATAATTTGCAACCCAGGCCTCTTGTACTACAGAGGTTCTTACCCTATTGATTGTTTTCTGGTTTCAAACTGAGTTTCATATGCTACAAGTATTACGGTTTTGGACATTATCCATCGTCTAGTCTTTTTAAAAAAACGTCCTGTTTCTTTTTCAGAATCCAGTCTCCAAAATGTTGTTTTGAAAAAGAAACAGGACGGTTTTTTAAAAAATAGACAAGACGATGGGTAATGTCTAAAAACATAATATTTGTAGCAATATACCATCGTCACAAACTTTTAGATCTTATTTGAGTTTCATATGACTTCACTCAAATACTTCTGGAGGGGCATGAGCTAAGTGACATCAAACTCCGTTCGAAAATAGAAAACATACAATGGAGTAAGACCCCTGCAGTACAAGAGATCAAGTTGCAACATTATTTATGGGGAAAAAGTTGCTCGCCGGTGCCTGTGAAGTATGAACATTTCTCATTTACATCAATTCAACATCCCCTTACTGAAATGCAACGGACATTTGAACTATAACATATATAGAATAATTGTGTTTACGAAAGCTGATGGTGGGTAAACTTGAAAGAAAATTCTGTTTCCATCAGAGATAAGTGTATTCAACTTCATAACTTTGCTTACAACTTACACTTGAAAGCTATAAAATATCTGAAGCAATATAATGAACCTTGAGAATCTTAAATATATACATGTTCACAAGTTCATTGCTGAACACGATAATATGGCAAGCATAATAAAATATCTGAAGCAATATAATGAACCTTGAGAATCTTAAATATATACATGTTCACAAGTTCATTGCTGAACACGATAATATGGCAAGCATAATAAAATATCTGAAGCAATATAATGATCCATGGATGAAATAAAATTGAACTGAACTGAATTGAATTGAACCTTGAAAATCTTGAACATATAAATGTTCACAAGTTCAATGCTGAAGACAATAATATGGCCAACATAATAAAACAACTGAAGGAATATAATGAACCTCAAAAATCTGATGTATATATATTTATGTTCATAAGTTTAATGCTGAACACAATAATATGGCCAAAATAATGCAACGACTGAAGGGATATACCCATAATAACAAATTAGATGAATCAAATATATAAACACTAATAAGAAAAAAATTCCTACCTAGGAAGTAGTTAATAAATTTAATTACAAAACACACAGTGAATCCTGACATTGATTCGGCTCCTCGGTGTTTCACACTGAATCGGATAACCTGAAGATTGCAAGTCAATTATAAATTAATGCCGCTTCATTCTTACCCACATATAAACAGGAACCAAGTATGTCAGAAAAGAATTTCCCACAAAATTCTCGATTGAGATATGATTATTTTCAGATACATGGCAGAATGAACTCTGTAGGTGACAATGTTATCAACAAATTACTCAATATCAGAGGTTTGAGACAAGAACACACGAAGGCATGGTAGTTGCAGTTGCTTGTCACCAGGGTTACTTTCTCCAACTTATGAAACATCTATTGATGCACATGTGAGCAGCTGGCATGTACGTCAGTAATTCAATAAGTGCTCTCTGCCGATTTCCAGGGCTAGTATGGGCAGGATATTACAAGGCAAAGATGAAGAAGCATTACTTTCTTAATGATTTACTGGTGTGTCAGTATCTTAATCTTCTTCTTTGTGGCCATCTGCTTGGCTGCTTCAGTCATCAGCCTGTTTGTTCACTTACACCACCAAGGAATTAAATTCTTGTGAGACATCTCACAATACCATCTACTATTCATGGGTAGTGAAGTGAACAACCAGTACACCTAATCTGCACAAAGTCAATTGTGTTCTTAATGGCAGCTGTGATATGCTGCTCCACGAACTGAAGTGGGCCACCCTGCCATCATATACTTCATTAGACTTACAGCAGTACCAAGAGTCTCCACACCAACATCTAAGAAGGACATGTGAGAGACTGTTCTGTATCACTGTACTCCTTGAAATATATGAAGACATTGGCTAATAGCCAGTTGCTGATCTAATGGCCACCACAAACACAGTGAAAGAAGAGGTCAAACTCTTGACAAAAAATGATGTGATAGTAGTATGGGGAGGCACAAGAGACGTAGGCAGAAATGAGACCACTGGTGGCTTAAATCAGTTGAAAAACTTCTTCAGGAAAAATAACCATACAAACATCATCCAGGTGTGTGTACCACACAGATATAATCTACATTCAGATTCCTGTGTAAACAATGAGATACAAGTCTTCAATAGAGAATCTGGTAAACTGGTGAAGGCTCTCGAAAATACACCTTTGATAAAGCTAGATTTAAATGGAGAACTATGTACAAAACATGGCCTACACATGAACAACAAAGGGAAAGAATTGGTTGTCAAGAAGATAATGTCTACTATAAAAGACATGCTACATAAAAAGTAGAAGAATCAATCAGCATGACCTGGAAAGAAGATGAAGTAGAAAAATCAAAAGAGAAGCACAACAACCAGATATATGAAGAAGACAGAATCAGCCCAGAGTTGAATCATGATGCAGTCAACCCCGTTTTATCAAGAAGACTTCGGAAACCATCCTCTACAAGAAAGGACAAGGTTGGGCTAAGAAGGGAATGGTCTGATCCGACATTTCGAAACCTGCCCTGATTTTTTTTTTCACTGCAAGAGTACACACAACAAAATCCACTGTCAAAATTTTAGCTGCTAATATGCATTGCAAGTATTTTTTAAAAATTGCTGAACATGGCCAATATTCCAGCCTGCCAGACCCGTGGAGAAATGTCTACCCCTAGCAGAGCAGAGCAGTACGCAACATGCAACAGGGCTGACTCACAGCCTAGGCTGGGATTGTACAAACTTCTGGTACAAGGGGTTCCGCATACAGAAAAAATTAGTAACTTCAGCAATTTTTAAAAAATACTTGCAGTGCATATTAGCAGCTAAAATTTTGACAGTGGATTTTGTTGTGTGTATTCTTGCAGTGAAAAAAAAATCAGGGCAGGTTTCGACATGTCAGACCAGACCATTCCCAGACACAACAGCTGCAAATATAAATAAACCAGGAGGAAGTACATCACCTGAAGAATGTACACCATGTCCAGAAAATTCAACAACTTCTACACCATGTGGGGAAGTTACAGAAGACACAGTCCATGAAGAGGCTACTAAACTAGAATACAAAGAAGATACTATCCATGAGGAGGCTGCAGAAACCCAAGGGAACAAAACAGAGAAAACTTCAGCAGACCCATCCCTGAACTGTGCGGTGCTATTTGAAAGAGATCAACAGCAGGAAGTTCGTATGTCAACCAGACAAAGGAGGCCCCCAGTAAAGCTAAGTAAAGAGTTTTTATAGATAAGCATAGTGCTGGTATCCTCAAGAATAATAATATGAGGGTTGGAACGTTAATAGTGGCAACACTGCTGTAGAGACACCATGGAACATGACCAAATAATGTCACTTCCGCCACACTTACTTACTTACTTGCTCATGGAGCTGAGCCCTTCTTGAGGAGCCGCCAATTCTGCAGCTACTCAAGCATTTCCCAGCATTTTATGGAACCCGAAGGTTCATCACCGTGTTCACAAGAGCCCTCCACTGGTCCATATCCTGAGCCAGATCTATCCAATCCATACCATCCCATCCTATCTCTCTAAGATCCATTCTAATATTGTCCACCCACCTACGCCTTGGTCTTCCCTGTGGTCTCTTTCCTTCTGGTTTTCCCACCAATATCCTATACGTATTCCTCATCTCCCCCATTCGTGCACTTATGCCACACGTTAGTTATATACCTATCTTAACTCAGAGCAAATGGACTCTCTCATCCCACATGTCGCGCATGCGCAGTGACGAGAAGAACAGAGCCTCGTGTTAGCTGGCGGTCTAATGTAGTATTGTCACTATGTTTTCGAAACAGGAACAACAGCGTTGGATAAAGATTGAATGTGCCAGAGGCCGTACAGCACAACAGTGTCATCAAGGTCTTCAAGAGTCTTGCAGGGAATTTGCATTGCCTTACAGAACAGTGGCAAGGTAAACAACACAGCAGGCCACGAATAAACACGGAAATACTAAGGACCTCCTTTCGCAAGATCTAGAAAGTTAGGGGGAAAAAAAAAAAAAACTTTAAAAAGTTTTAACACCAAGAAGTCTGCTGTGAATGTGAAAGGTTGAACATTGTGTATATTGTGCATTTCAGACATCATATGTGTATCTATATGATTAACATCTATTGTAATAGTAGTTTCCAAAAGTACTGATGCCCTCTGAGGACGATCTGTAGGGATCGAAACATGTAAGGGTGATAAGTCCTCAAGTGATAAAACTTAATAGTCACATTAGACGGTATTACTTTTGCCTTTGTAATTATTAGTGTGACGGACCAGAATGATACACATCATTTTCAATAACTGTCAGTCAAAACGCACCTCACTGACAGGAACGAATGATTTCAATTAATGAAATGCTAATGGCTCTTCCGATCTGGTGGGTAAGGTGGTCGATGCTCTCAAAACATTCAATGTTGATAAGCGAAATTTCGCCAAACTTCAGAAGCGAATAAGAAACGTAATTTGTATGAACTGAAAATATTAGATCGGTGCACTGTGCTACGAAAAGAGAGGTGTCAACATGTTTTGTGTGTTGTGCCATTGTTTATGGAATGCTTGTGTCCCCGACGGTAAAAGTCGTGGATTCCTGACCTGCTCAGTAACAAAGAAGGAAAACACTGACAAAGTCATAAATGTTTAAGGAAGCAAAAAGCTCACATCGCCAATTAAAACTTCGGAACACGATTAACTAACAAAAAGAAACAGTAATATGTGTGTCTGGAATAACTTAAACATAGACGCATAAATATCAGTTTGGAACAGATTATAGTATATTCGGGCTATCCTGACCAGCCCGTAATTCATGGTCTTACTGTTATACGATAGTACAGCAATAACAATAAAATGCCCGAACCCACAGATCTTCATAGTCATCATCCTTCCATGTCTAAGGGGGCCCATACACGTACGAGTCTGGCTCGCGAATCCGACTCGGCTTGGGTTTCAATGAGCCAAACTCGTCCGTGTGTTGATCGCCACGCTCATACATGTGTGGCGAAATTAATCCGAGCCCGGCTCCTCGTCGAGCCGGACTCGCGAGCCAGACTCGTACGTGTATGGGCCGCCTTAGGCTTAGAAGTCTGCTAAGCTTCATGCCACAGTTTGTAGGATCTCTCCAATTCCTTTTGGTCGGTAACTGACAATTTGGAACGTGATTCTTGATCTGCTTTTTCGAATAGCATAGTTTTCCCAATTCAGCCCACAATATTCTAAGAATTCTGTAAAATTTGAGCATTTAATTCCTTCTTTCTGTCTAAATTCCCTTTATAATCCAAAGCATTGTTGCCTGCTGTCATTTCTGTTGCCATGATTCTACTTTCATCCCATTTCCACACAGTCCAAGCTTCGCACCCACAAACCAATATTGATCGTGCTAATTTTATTCCAGAGGACGAACCACAATGTGTCATCTCCACACAGGACGCATTTCCGGTATCCATACGCCGGTGGGAAATCCAAGCTTTTCTCACTAGATGGCAGTGGGTGATGTAACTATGCCGCTTGTGTGTGTAATATTACATCCCTATATGAACACACCAATTACTTTTATTGAGAATACGTGTAACCTTACTTTCACTTTGCTACTAAATAATACTTCTTAAATAGGTTTATCTTCATTTTCGGTAATGATACATTCTTACTTCTTTTAAAAATTCTGCTTTCTAAAGGTACATTATGTATAATTAGAATGATCAAGTCAAGGAGGATCAGGTGGACAGGGCATGTAGAACGGATGGGGGAGAAGAGGAATGCATATAGGATATTGGTGGGAAAGCCAGAAGGAAAGACCACTGGGAAGACCAATGCGTAGGTGGGTGGACAACATTAAAATTGATCTTAGACAGATAAGATGGGATGGTATGGATTGGATTTGCCTGGCTCAGGATAGGGACCAGTTTAGGACTCTTGTGAACACGGCAATGAATCTTCGGGTTCCATAAAATGCTGGGAAATTCTTGAGTAGCGGCAGATTTGGCAGCTTCTCAAGAAGGGCTAAGCTCCATAAGTAAGTAAAGGTACATCAATTACCGCATCGCTATGAACATTGTGGCGCATAGACCCTTTGCTGGGCGGAGACCTCGAAACGGACGAGTATATCCGTTGCTATGCAATAGGCAGATAAACACCCGTTTCTAATCAATGGCTTGGTAAATGTGTTCTCGCAGAAATGATATACAGTCTATCGCTAGCAACTGCAATGAAAACAATAGAAGGATTGTTGTAGGAGGTGTTTTCCTTTGGGTCCGCCCCGAGGACACCAGCCAAGCTGCAGTTAGAACTGTCAGCAGTTCAGTTAAATAAAGTGTGGTGAAGATCCTGGTTGGTGAGTAAGAGAGTTCAGTTGTCAGTTGAAATTCACCCTGCGAAGAGAAGACTAGAATGCTGATGTGAAATGGCAGCCAGGCTGGGACCCAGTTAGTTGAGTCGTCAAGAGTTGTGCAGGGATGGCAGTGACGACAGGACCTGCGTGCGGGAAGCTGAAAATTCTCCTTCGGTAGAAACCGTTGTCAGACTGAGTCACCAGCCGAAAACATCCAGTTATAGCTATAGCAGCCACCTGCTGGAGGTGGTTCCTTGCTAGCGGAATTTTCTAGCCTGAAGATTGAGGCGACATGTTCCTCCGAAACGTCGGTTTACACTAGATATCCACGGTGCCACATCCCAGAAGGCGGCTTTCTTCTTAGCCACTGCCATGAAAACCACAGCTCTTACATACTAAGACAGAGGTTTAATTTGACTGATACAACTATCATATTACAAAATGTGGAAAGCACAGAATACTGTGTTTAATCTTTTAATTAACCAAAAACTACACTGAAGTGCTAAAAGTCGTGGGATAGGTACCTAGTATCGTGTGGAACCTCCTCTAGCCCGGCGAAGTGCAGCAACTCGACGGAAGACCTCTGGAGATATGTTGAGCCATGCCGTCTGGATAGCCGCCCACAGCTCTCTGGCATTTGTAGGTGCAGGATTTCGGGTGCGAATGAACCTCTCCACCATGTCCCATAAATGCTCGATTGGGTTCACGTTGGGCGAACGTGGTGGCCACACCATTTGTTGGAACTCTCCAGAATGCTCCTCGAACCGATTCTGGACAACTCCGGCCCGATGACACGGTGCATTGTCCTGCTGGAATATCACATCATTGTGGGGGTACATGAAGTCCATGAAGGCCTGCAAATGGTCACCAAGCAGTGTAACGTAGCGGTTACCGGTCAATGACGTGTTTAGGTGGACGAGCGGACCCAACTCATGCCACGTGAACAAACTCCATGCCAGTATGGAACCACCACCAGCCTGCACGGTGCCTTGTTGACAACTGGGGTCCATGGCCTCATGGGGTCTGCGCCACACCCGAACCCTACCATCCGCCCGGAAAAACTGGTACCGTGACTCATCGGACCACGCCACATGTTGCCAATCCTCCAGGGTCCAATTAGCGACGTCACAAGCCCAGGTGAGGCGCTGTGCCCGGTGTCGTGGTGTTAACAGAGGCCCTCTGGTCGGTCTTCTGCTTCCATATCCCATGGAAGCTAGAGAACGCTGCACTGACCTGCTGGATATGCGTCTGGTACCTCCTGCATTGAATGTGGATGTGATTTCAGCTAGTGCCGCTTGTCTGTTACCGCGGACAATTCTAGCTAGACCCCGCAGGTCACAATCATTAAGCACCCGTGGTCGGCCACTGCGCTGTCCACGGTGGGTGGAAATGCCTTCCACAAGGCAGTTTCGGTACACACGTGACACTGTGGATCGAGGAATGTTGAATGACCACACAACGTCGGAAATGGAATGTCCCATCCGCCTGGCACCCACTATCATGCCCCGTTCAAACTCCGATAATTCACGTTGGCTTGCCATGAGCAGATACCCTCCTGCAATGACAGGAGGGTATCACAGAAATATTAGATTTGATTTGTTTCTGTTAAGATTAAAGTTAAAGTGAAGGAGATTTAGTCTCAGTAGTTCTATCATTAGGAGCTCTGTCACGTATACAGGCTGATGCCATGAAGCTATACATGTGCATATGTCTTCTTCTTCTTCTTATGTTCCTGTTGCTACCACTTGGAGCATAGGACATCCGTGAAACGCTTCGTTCCACAGATCTCTGTTCAGTAAATAGTTAACGGAACTTCAACAATGTAATGTATTCAGAGAATCCAGCTTACCGGCACTTGGTAGAGACTAGAAGTAGATGCTGCATCAAATTCAGCTCTTTAACTTGAATCAGAAAGAAGAACAGAAGATATTTTCTGCTCCGTGAGAAAGAAGTGCTATGCGCAGTTCAAAGAGGAATGGCTTTCTGCGATCATCGAAAAGAAATGCCATAAACACAGACACAGAAGGCGGATAAAAACAGGCGATTGTTCTTCTTCAATTCATAATAACCTAGACTTTCTTTGCCTGAAATTTCTATATTCCCTCTAATAGTTTCCGAGCTATATTAACATCCACCTCAGCGTCCATGATTTTCAAAGTTGCGAACCTATTTGAGATTTCAACACGATACTGCTTTTTACTCTCCCTCNGACTTTCAACACCATTATGCTTTTTTCCCCCCCTCTCCCCTCTCCCCCCCCCCCGTTACTCCCACTTTGGAGCATAGGTCAACCACGAAACGCTTTCTTTTACTTCAGTTTCTTAATCCTAAAACAGTCGGTAGGACTCCTTGGAAGGGGAATCAGCCCGTCGCAAGGCTTCCATCTACACAGAACAAAAGCAGACAGGCATCCATACCCTGAGTGGTATTCGAATCGACGATCCCCGTGTTCGAGTGAGCAGAGACAGTTAATGCCTTAGACCGCGCGCCACGGTGATCGGCCTCTTTACACTCTACCTTGTTTAATTTCTTGAGAATGAACCTCTGCACACGAACACTGTGCTTTGTTTGTTTACTGTCAGTCTCTCCCTAACTCTTTACCACCACTACGTAGTGGACAATATCAGTCCGCTGCCCTGAAATATTGGACATCAAGTACATTTGAATGTTGTCTCCTGTCTACGAAAATATGATCAATGTTACTGTGAGCCCTTCCGTCAGGAGATGTCCAAGTAAATTTATGAATGTTACGATTTGGGTACATTGTACTGTTGAAAGTCAGATTTTTGGATGTGACAATGTTTACTACTCTAACTGCATTATCATTAATAGCACTTCGTGTATGTGTCTCAAGTAACCTATTGTTTTGCGTTTATCAGGCTGTCATATATGCCATTGCATTCTATGAACTGTATAAATGTTTCAGCTAATATTGCGGTGCTGTCAGAACAGGCAGCCTGCTGGAGCTTACTGTCCGAAATATGCATCTGCCATAACATATTTATACTATTCTATGCTGAATTGAACGTGTTAACCTGTTAACTATGTACCTGAGATGATCATGACTGTGAAGCATTCACAGATGGGAGGAAGGTGAATGAAAATATCAACTGTGGTTGGTTCCTACAGGCTTTAAAGCACCTGCATTCAACCGAGTCAGGCGTGGGCCCCACTCAAATTTTCATATCCATTTGTTCGAGTAGTGAATATAAATAATTATATGGGTTCTTTTGCTGCGTTGTCAGTAACGAGACTATACAGCGTCGAATGATAGGATAACAGATGAATGGGAAAGGATCTAGAAGGAAGAGGTCATGGCATAATCGAGGTATAACCCAGAATTTGTCTGGAAGGACTGCCAAAAACGACGAAGAACCGTTGTCCCAACCGAGACTCGAACCGAGCATTTCAGATTATAAGTTTTAAATATGCCAAGAAATTTCTTTAGTTTATTTATTTTTGTGGTTGCAATGATGTATTTATACTGCATAATAAGGATTAAAAATTAGTAAAGGGCCCTGTTATTATCTGAATATGGCCACGGTCCGGGCAGAATTATTCTCAGTTTGTAATTTGGTCATTCATTGCAGTTTCTTGTTTATGGAAGCATTCTCCGTACACTTCTGATAGGAGTATTCACGAGTACATATCATCGCTTGAAACAACGCATAATAGTAACAACATTGTTCAAAAATAATATTTGTTTGAAAGAGAACAGCATCACTCCTGTATTTCAATTGTTGAATTCAACGTCTATATTTTTCACCGTTTATATATCTAGCAAACATCTTTCGCCTCTGACAGTACGTTTTTTCTTGGTTGTAATATTTCACAGATGATTTTTCTTGTGGTGCAGCCATTATTTATAACAGCAAGCAGAACCGAAGTACTGTATTTTCTAAACTTAGGCAAAGACATAACATCCACGTTGTCCGGTTGTTTCGGAAAATTACAGAATGATTTGTTGAGATAAACATGCAGATATTGTAATTGTTCGGATCGGTAGAATGCCTACTGCAAAACGCTGACAGTGTTAGTAACCTTTTATTGTTTACTGAAAAGTATGAAGACATGCTGAATCCCAGAAGTCTTCCATTCTATAATCGTTAGGTCGGTGAGTACGGGCGGTACCAAAACACAGCATGAGCTGCTAGGTTGTGCTGTGCCCAGTAGCCTACCGACACGCTACAGGGGAAGCCACACCAGGAGAGCCATGGGACACCGCCTGTACCATTGCTTCGTCACCACACCCTTCTGCAACCAGAGCAAGTAAAAGGGCAACGTCATAGTTCAAGCGGTTAGTCTGGCTTCCCACCGTGGCGAACCGGGTTCGATCTCGGGGTCTGGTCAAGTGGAATTTGTGGTGGGAAAAGTGGCGCTGGGGCGGGTTTTCTCCTAGTACTTCGGTTTCCCCTGCCAATCTTTATTCCACCAAATTCTCCATCATCAAAATCACCCGGGGAAGGCTACAATAGGCCAATCAGTGGCCGCGGTTCCGAGTGAAACCAGTTGGACTCCAACCCCCACTAAGCGAATTAAAAAAGCAAGTAAATCTACATCGTATCGCTGACAGCCAGGGAGATGCTTATAGGGACCGACCTAAGGCTAGAAAATTATATGGTATTGTAGAATAACTTAACTCACTCCCAAACGAATAGGTAAAAAAGGTAAACCTATCCCTGTAACAGGCTGTGGAAGCCTATACGGTTGTCAGATAGCGAGTCTCCCACATTTTATAGACAATCGGCTTACAGATGGTGAAGTCAGCCTTACGCGCCGGCCGCACTTTACCCCCAGGAAGATTCCTGTACTAATTTCTGTTAGAGGTTGAGTGGACAGCAGGGCTATAATGCTGCTGAAAGGATGAAGTCAATTGAAAAATCTAATAAACTAATCGGGACTAGAACCAGCGACCTTCCGACTTGTAGCATAGCCTCTGAACTAACGACGCTACTGTGCCCCAAATCGAAAACGTAGACAGTGTAAATAAACATAGGCAATAGCCCCCCCCTAATGTTACAAGTTTATTCCCTAAAATCCTAACCACCGAAGAACCAGAAACTCTACCAATAAGAGAAGATTTGACCACAACCCTAAAACCTCGATTTTTAATTGATCAGGTGGACGGCCGGGGTTCGATTCCCAGCAGGGCAAATATATTTTTTTCCTTGTCTCCAGCTTTCAGACTGGCTCTAGTGCCCACTCAGTCTCTTATTCGATGACTATCAGCTTAACCGAGGACAAAACGGCTGGGAAGTAGAGTTGAGAACTGATCTCAGTTTCGTGCCGAGGTCGAGATCGGTGGAGCTATACCTCCACTCTCTCATATGTCTTCATGGAGTGGTGCTTAATTAGTTAAGCACAGTAACAACTTTACCTCAGTGGCTGCATTCTGGTGACTAATACAGGATGTCCCAGGAGAAATGTGAAAAACTTCGGGAAGGTGTTCCTTATGTTAAAGTATGTCGATATAACCCAAAACACTTATGTCCAAAGTTGAACGGTTACGGAGATAATGGCCCGAGAAAAGTGTGGTCTTCTGGCGGGTCCACGCACTATACCTGTC